GCTCGAGATCCCGGCGTCTCCTGCCTTCCGTGAATTTGTGGCTCACGCCATCCCCACCTGCCCTTCTCCTTGGGTCGCCGCTCCTGTGCCCACGCCCCGCACGTGCGTATCCCTCCGCCCAGGCCCGTCCCCTGTGGCCTGGCCCAGCGTTCCGTGGCCGCAGGGCTGGGCTACCCCTCCCGTCCCCTGGATGCTTGAGACCGGAAGGGATGGATTTTGGATTGTTTGGGGTTTGGGAATGTATCTTGGATAAAGGCGACATTCATTAACGTTTCATTTACGTTTCATACACACCTTAAACACGTAGTCTGGAGGTGACTTTCTTTGCCAAAGGGCTACATGGTCACAGAGAGAGTGAGAGAGCACTAAGGAGGGAGGCCGCTGTGCCAGTCCTTCTCCATCCCTCCTCCCTTTCAGGACTTTGGCACGGCACGCACACGCGCCCAGCTTGTCATGTAAGCCACGAGTCTCGGGGCTCGCACTGCTCCGTCGGCCACGTGGGATCCAGCCGCCTTAACCAGCATGCCAGCCTGGCCCTGCCCAAAGGTGATATTAGGGACCTTTCCGAGCTGGGGCACATTGACTGCACCCCTCCTGCGGGGTCTGCCCTTGGCGTCATGCCAGCACTCAGCCATGTTGGCACTGGGGGCTCCGTGGGTTTCAGAGCTCCAGGCCAGGCAGGCTCCAGCCGGATGTCAGGTGCAGGAAGCCAGGCTCCCATTCTCCATCCTGGCTCACTGGCCCCAGCTGACCTGCTACCCAGATGAAGGTGTTTCCTGCCCCTCGGCCTTCTCTCACGCTCCTGCCTGGGGTGCTCATCATCATCGGCAACCTCACCTGTCCCTCTCCCTCGTGGAGACTCGAACTTCTGTCTTTGACGCTAACTCCTTGGCCACGTTCTGCTCGCCCTCTCAGTCCCGCTGGACAAGGCTACCTCCGTGTGCTGCTGCCATTGATTTGGGTTTTGGCTATGGTGTTTTTGCCTGTTCTTTAGTTTATTGCTAATTCCCAGACTTCTTTTCCTGTAGCTTGCCTAGCAGGGACTAGCAGGTGGCATACTGGTTACATTGCTTGACTCCCACGTGACTGACTGAGGTTCGAGTTCCGGGCCTGGCAGCTTGAAACACACCAGGCACATGTGTGTGTGCATGCCCAAAATCCCAGGAGGAGAAAAGTGGAAAAGGAATTTTGGCATGGCCATCCCCCTGGGGGGTGATTTCTCACTTTACCTCTCACTATCTCTGTCTCTCTCCAGAGAGCACACGTGGCCTATAACAAAAAACCCTCATGTATAAACAAACGGAAGGCCATCATTGACGAGCCGCCTTGCCCCCCTTGCTTGTCCTCTTGCCCTTCGATGGTGGCAGGCACCTCACCACACCGCCATGGCGTCGTCTAAGGGCCCTTCCAGCACGTGGGGCACATTCGGGTCGTGCAGCCGTCACCACTGTGCATCCCCAAAGCCTCCTCCGTCACACCAAGACTGCGTCCCTCGGACGGTGACTCCTGTCTGAACCTGGCTGGCGTGGGTACGGGGTGGCGTGGAGCCGTGCACGTGGCCGGTGACCGACTGCTGCACTTTGCATGACGTGGCCACCGCCCGTCCCTGCCGCCGCGTGTGCCGATACTCCATCACAGTCACATCTCGTTTACCCTCACCGGTCAGTGGACGCGGGGGTGCTTCTACCCGGGACGGCTGGAGTAAAGCTGTGCGTGAACCTGGCTGCGCCAACAGCTGCCTGGGTCCCTGCTTGGACTTTTTCAAAGAATATCCCTAGATTTGGGATTTGGGGCATGTACACTCACCAGAGAAGGAGAGAGAGAAAATGAGAAGCCACCCCTCAGGGGACGGCCACACCACAATCCCCTCCCCGCTCGGGATTTGGGCACATGTGCACACGGGCTGGCATGCTCGCCAGGCCGCCGGGGCAGGGCTCGGGCCACATGGGCTGCTGTTGGAACCCAGTGCCTCCCTCTGTCCGCTATTCTGAGGGGCTCCCAGCGCCATTTTCCACGGTTAGCACACAGGACTCCAGTCTCCACGTCCTCGCCAACATCGCAGCCACCCTAGAGAGTATGAATGGTACCGCTTTTTCTTTTTTTCAATTTTTTTATTATGTCTTTATTTACTCTTTTTTTGTTGTTTTTGTTGGTGGTGGTTTTTGTTTGTTTGTTTGTTTTTAAGTTTTTGTGATAGAGCACATGCGCTTGCCAGAGAGAGAGAAAGAGAGTAATCATGCCCCTCCCCTGGGGCGATGGCCAAGCTTCTGTCCCTTCTCCCTTCTCTGGAGATTTGGGGAACACACAGACACATGTCTGACATGATTTCCAAGCTGTTGTGTCTGGGACTCGAACCACGGTCGGCCAAGTGGGATCCAGCACCCCAACTGCCACGCCACCTGCTGGCCCCTGCCACCACTCTTTCTCGCAGTGTTTTACAACTGCCACTTCAAACTCATGTCCGCCACGCTCCTTCCCTCCCCAGCCTGTGCTCCTGCTTGAGGTGCTAATGGGTGTCACCGGTCACACCTGCCCTCTGTCCCTGCCCTCTGTCCCCGCATCTCACCAGCCACCAAGCCCTCGAGTCCTTCCTGGGCTGCTAGCGTCTCTTCCCTCCAGAAGGCAGCTGGCTTCACCTCTCGCCTGGCTTCCTGCACTCTCCCCGACCTGCCCAAACCACTTGGCAGCACCATAAACCCGCAGCCCTGGCTGGCGTGGGTACGGGGGGGCGTGGAGCCGTGCACGTGGCCGGTGACCGACTGCTGCACTTTGCATGACGTGGCCACCGCCCGTCCCTGCCGCCGCGTGTGCCGATACTCCATCACAGTCACATCTCGTTTACCCTCACCGGTCAGTGGACGCGGGGGTGCTTCTACCCGGGACGGCTGGAGTAAAGCTGTGCGTGAACCTGGCTGCGCCAACAGCTGCCTGGGTCCCTGCTTGGACTTTTTCAAAGAATATCCCTAGATTTGGGATTTGGGGCATGTACACTCACCAGAGAAGGAGAGAGAGAAAATGAGAAGCCACCCCTCAGGGGACGGCCACACCACAATCCCCTCCCCGCTCGGGATTTGGGCACATGTGCACACGGGCTGGCATGCTCGCCAGGCCGCCGGGGCAGGGCTCGGGCCACATGGGCTGCTGTTGGAACCCAGTGCCTCCCTCTGTCCGCTATTCTGAGGGGCTCCCAGCGCCATTTTCCACGGTTAGCACACAGGACTCCAGTCTCCACGTCCTCGCCAACATCGCAGCCACCCTAGAGAGTATGAATGGTACCGCTTTTTCTTTTTTTCAATTTTTTTATTATGTCTTTATTTACTCTTTTTTTGTTGTTTTTGTTGGTGGTGGTTTTTGTTTGTTTGTTTGTTTTTAAGTTTTTGTGATAGAGCACATGCGCTTGCCAGAGAGAGAGAAAGAGAGTAATCATGCCCCTCCCCTGGGGCGATGGCCAAGCTTCTGTCCCTTCTCCCTTCTCTGGAGATTTGGGGAACACACAGACACATGTCTGACATGATTTCCAAGCTGTTGTGTCTGGGACTCGAACCACGGTCGGCCAAGTGGGATCCAGCACCCCAACTGCCACGCCACCTGCTGGCCCCTGCCACCACTCTTTCTCGCAGTGTTTTACAACTGCCACTTCAAACTCATGTCCGCCACGCTCCTTCCCTCCCCAGCCTGTGCTCCTGCTTGAGGTGCTAATGGGTGTCACCGGTCACACCTGCCCTCTGTCCCTGCCCTCTGTCCCCGCATCTCACCAGCCACCAAGCCCTCGAGTCCTTCCTGGGCTGCTAGCGTCTCTTCCCTCCAGAAGGCAGCTGGCTTCACCTCTCGCCTGGCTTCCTGCACTCTCCCCGACCTGCCCAAACCACTTGGCAGCACCATAAACCCGCAGCGTCCTGTGTCAGCCTTCTGTTGCTGATAAAAAGAAAAAAGAAAGGAGAGGAAAACAAGGGTTATTTAATGACACCTTTTACACATGAGGCATAAAGTTTGAGTCCTGTTTCACAGATAAGTGAGGAACAAAAGCCACATATCTGGTCTAAGGTCACTCAGCTAGACGTGCGCTAGGAGTCGAGCCCGTCCCTCGGCGCCTTCCTCCAAAGCCCACTCGCCCTCTCACAGACACAGAGTGGCCCGCACAACCTTTTGAAGAAAAAGCAAAGCCAAGTGACTTGCCTGAAGAGACACGCTCAATAATTTAGGAGTTGGGATTTGAACCCGGGTCTCTGACCCCAAAGCCTGTCCCAAACCGATTCCTCACCACTCCCAGACCATGGCTTGGCAACAGGTCCTGCCCTCTGGACCCAGCTCGGTTACTGCCTGTCCTGCCCATGGCCTTACCCCTCGGCCCACGCTATGGTCTGCCACTTTGCCCCTGTTCTTTCTTTTCTTTTTAGAGGTTTTTGCCATAGGGCACATGTCGTCGGAGAGACAGACAGACATAGAGACAGTGAGAGGGGAAATGACAAATCAACCCCTTCTCCTCCATTCTCCTCCCGGGATCTTGGGCACGCACGCACACGTGCCTGACATGATTTTCAAGCCACTGGGTCTGGGACTCAAACCACAGTTGGCCATGTGGGAGTCCAGCGACATAACTGCTGTGCCATCTGCTGGCCCTGGCCCTGCCCCTGTTCTTAGACTGCCATCAATGTGTGACTTAGCCTTCGTCCCAGCCCCAGCACTGTGCTTTGTCCCCAAAACCTTTCCAGTCACCCGACAATGCGGGAGCAGCACACAGCAGCTCTTGTTCTCAGAGCCGGAGGCACAGCCGCGCATGGAGCACCAGCAAGCACTCCAAGCACTGGCCGAGCACACGGAAGGTGTCCCTGTGTGGGGCCTCCCGGAACCCGCTCGTCGGTCACGACCTTAGCATGGCGAGACCGGGAGGAGGGCCGAACTTCTGGCCTGGTGTTTGCACTGCATCGATTCCGGTTGTCTGTCCACCTCTCTGGCTCCAGGCCGAGTGGGCGGTCCCCGAGCTGCCTGGTCACATCTTTTCCCGGCCTGGACTCTTGTCAGGGTCACAGTAGCAACCAGGTGAACCGCACCGCCACCCGGGAAGGTATGACCCGGCGAGGCTGTGCCCTAGCTTTGGGGGTTTGATAGAAACCCGCTCCTGTCCCCAGGTGAAAGTGTGGTGGGAGGGATGAGGCAGGCGGGACACTAGCACTGGAAGCCAGCGTGGAGGGCCGGGTCTTCCCTGCAGCTGAGCAGTAATCTGGCCGCGTGAGATCCAGAAGAGGCGAAGGTTCTTACTGCAAGCAGGTGAGTGAAGGGCTGAACCAGTGGGGAAGGCTCTTCCAGGTCAGGAGAGTAAGAGCAACTGGGGAGACCGCCCCCACTTCACAGGGCGTGGGCAGGAGGGAGGGCCGCCCCGCACTCTGGGCCTCCCAGCCTGTCTAAGGGAAGCAGTTCTTTCCCTGGCACAGCAAGAACTGGTCTGCAGTTAGAGCGCCCGACCCTGGAGAGGCGGAAGGGCCTGGGCCTCACGAGGAAGGGAGGGCAGCTAGAGGATGGGCCGGCCTGCAGCCTGGTGGTTGAGGGCGCTGGATCCCACATGGCTGACCGTGGCTCAGTTCCCACCCCAGTGGCTTTATAAACACACCAGGTGCATTTGCCTAAAATCCTGATGGGACGAGAAGTGGAGGGAAGGGATTGCGACGCGATCGCACCTCACTGGGGGCTCTCTCTCTCTCTCTCTCTCTCGCAAGTGCACATACTATCAACTTTTTCCAAACAAAGAGTCGACCTGTCTGTCTTGGGAAGAGGGCAAGTTAAAGCCAACGCCCCTCTCTGCTCCAGGCCTGGCCCGCGGCCCGCCCCTCTCAGCTCTCAGCAGCTTCTGGCTCATGTGGGGACACAGGCCAGGGAGCAGGGTGGACACGTGTTGCGTGTCACACGGTCCCAGAAGCAGCCTCCCCAGAGCTGAGGGATTTCGCAAAGGGTTATGGAGGTGACGTCAGAGCGGAGGCAAAAGAACACCTGGTAATTGGTCGGTGTAGACGGGGACGCTGTCCCAGGCGGGGGCTGTGCTGCAGAGGCTGTGCTCCCAAGGCTGCAGAGGTTCAAAGGGGCAGGGCAGGGAGAGCAGGGACAGAGGCCTCTGACAGGAAGGGGAGGAGCACCGGGCCGGAGGGCCTGGGCAGGGCGGCCAGCTTGTCCTGTTGCCTGCTTGGCGAGTTGTGGTGAGTCGGCAGGGGGACGGGCTGGGGGATCCGCAGAGACTGCAGAAGGGCCCAGGGGCTCAGGCTGACCCTCGCACTCCCCGTCTGCCCTGGACCAGCACCTCTGGAAACTGCAGGAGAAACGAGCTACCAGAAAACTAGAATTTGATAAAGAGATAAAATATAAGCTCATTTGGGGCAGCAGGTGGCACCGAGGTAGCAGCCAAGTCCCACATGGCTGACTTGTTCAGGCTCCCAGCAGGCAGCTCAAAACACGCCTGGCGCGTGTGCGTGCGTGCGCAAGATCTCAAGAGACGAGACAGGATTGCGGCGCGCCCATTCCCCGGGAGGGTGATTTCTCACTGCCTGTTTCTCTGGTGTCTGGTGAGCCCACATGCCCTATAGCAAACTCTGTGCACACACACACACACACACACACACACACACACATATGCTTACTAGTAGATCCCTAAGCAAAATCACTGTCCGATTGCAATGCCATGTTTTTTTTCTTTTTTGAGAGGTTTTTTTGTTTTGTGTTTTTTGTTTTTTGCTATAGGGTGCGTGTGGCCAGGGGGTATGGCCACGCCACAATCCCTTCTCTTTCATCCTCCTCTCGGGATCTTGGGCACACACGCACACGCGCCCGGCGTGAGTTTTAAGCCACCGGGTCCAGGACGCGAACCATGGTCGACTACATGGGAGTCCAGCGACATAGCCGTTACACGTAACTGCTGGTCCCCTTTTAAACCATGCTCTAAACGGTTACTTCTAGTATCTGCCTTAAGCAGGGTAGACCCAACCACACGTCCTGAGGCACTGAGCTTAGAAGGTGGGTGGCACCAAGCTCACTGTCAACACTGTCCACTTGATGCCCGGAGTCGGGGTGTCAGGGAAGGAAGCCTCAGGGTGATGACAGAGGACCAGGGGAAGAGCAGGCCTGGGGGGCAGACGTGAGCGAGCCCAGGTGGAAAAGCCGTGGCCTCCTGTCAGATGACAGGTGGGCAGGGCCAGGAGCAGGAGAGAAGGCGTCCTCGGGTGCATGTGTGGAGGGCAAGGCATTGAGAACCTCGGGCGAGATTCTGTGCGCCCAAGGGCTCAGACGTCAGAGGAACGGGCTAGAAAGGATGAGGAGCATGAGACACCCTGACAGCTGGTGTTTGCCCGCGGACCGCAGGGTGAAGCCCAACCCTTTGCTCTTTGAGGGCCACGGGCTGTACCAGGCAGTCAAGGCTCCACATCAGGCCTCAGCTCTTTTGCCCTCTTTCCCACAGTTCTGAGCCACCGGGGAGGCCCGGGAGCGCTCTGCCCAACGTTCACCTCCAGGCTGCCCTCCCTGGCTCCATTCACAGCGACCTGAAGCTCAGAGGCCCTTCCTGTTCCTCCCCCATCGTGACCTCACACCGTCCAAACCCTTGACCCCTTTCAGTGTTTCCTGTCTGAGTCACCTGATTGCTATCAAATGGAATTGAAAGGCTTTTTAGAAATGCATTTGGGGCTGGCAGGTAGCATAGTGGTTAAGGTACTGGACTCCCACTTGGCCAACCGCAGTTCGAGTTCCAGATAGTGGCTTTCTTTTTCAAAAAATTATTTAATTAAATTAAATTAATTAATTAATTAATTTAAATTTGACCTGAGAGAGATAGAGTGAGAGAGAGCATGAGAGACAAAGAGAGAAAGCAACCCAGCAGGTCCAGGATTAGAACCATGGTTGGCATGATGTAGGAGTTCAGTGCCATTAACCACCACGCCACCTGCCGGCCTCATGGTGGCTTGCTCTCTCACTGTCTCTTGCTGTCTCCCTGTCTCTCAGTGGTCAAATTAAAAAATGAGGGACCAGCAGTTGGCGTAATGGCTATGTCACTGAACTCCCATGTAGCCGACCACAGTTTGAGTCCCGGACCTGGTGGCTTAAACTCACGCTGGGGTCCTGTGCGTGCGTGCCCAAGATCCCGAGAGGAGAATAGAGGAGAAGGGATTGTGGCGTGGCCATCCCCCCTGGGGGGTGATTTCTCACTTTCTGTTTCTGTCTCTGTCTTTCTGGTAAGCGCACATGCCCTATAGCAAAAACCTCTCAAAAAAAAAAAAAGGTAAAAAAAATATAATGAATAAATTTCAATAAATAAATTTAAAAATAAATAATTCTTTCCTGAAAAATGTGTTTAAGGGAGGCCAGCAGGTGGCATGGAAGCTAAGACACTGGATCCTACATGGCCAACTGTGAGATTCAAACCCCAGACCTGGCGGTTTGAAAAACATACCAGGCACATGTATGTGTGCCAAAAATCCTGAGAGGACAATGGAGAAGGGATTGTGGCCAACCTTCTGGAGGTGATTTCTCACTTATCCTCTCTCTCTGTCTCGTTCCAGTGAGCACAGATGCCCTGTAGCAAATTTAAAAAATAGCAATCATACAATTAGGGCCGGCTCCATGGCCTGCCCCCACGTGACCGACTGTACGGTTTGAGTCCTGACCTTGGTGGCTTGAACAATATGCTAGGTGCGTGTGGGCATGCCCCAAATTCCAACAGAATGGAGAAGTGGGGGAGAAGAGATTGCAGTGTGGTCATGCCCCCAGAAGGTACTTCCTCACTTCCTGCCTCTGTCTCTCCAGCAAGCGCACGCACTCTCTGCCAACTTGTTTAAGTGGGTTAATTGGTTAACACTGGTTAAACAATCATAAAAACCAGCTGTAGCTTAACAAACAAATTAATTCATTAGAAGGGTAGAAGGCGAGTCCTTTGGGGCTCCAAGTCGGGGTGAAGTGGGTCACTATGGAATCGGGGTTGGCCACCACCCAAAACGTCGCTCTCCTCTCCTTCCCAGGGGTGGGGGATGGGGGGGGGCTGCCCTAGTCTCTTCTCCGAACCACATGGCGAGTGTGCTGAGAGGCCCTAAACCGCATGCCCCCCCGATAGCATTCCGGAAGAGGCTCGACCGCCCTCGGGACCCCACGGAGAGGATTGCCATCCTTGGACACGCATCAGCCGGGGCTGGGGAGCGTTTGGGGATCTGCAGCCAGGCACCTGGAAAACGGGGCGGTAAAGAGGTCCCCAGGCCGGGCCACCCCAGCCCGCCTCGGTGCCCGAGAACACGCAGCACACGCCGCTCCCACACAGCAGGCTCCCTGACACGCTCGTTACCGGCATAAACGACACCGGACCCTGCACAGGACGGAGGCCAGGCTAGACCCCGGTTATGTTTGTTTTGTGGCCCTGAACCGCATCCCGAGCTGAGGTGATTGGCTTTGTTACCCCACGTCTCCCAGCACATCTCGTTTCCCCTAAATGCCACTCGGAAGAGGAGGGCGAGGTAACTAACGACGCCTCTGTCGTTGCCCAGGTCTCAGGCAGTGCGGAGCTCGGCCGGGCGACACGGCTGCCGCGCGGCCTTGTTTGCTGACGACTTCCCCGTCCCCGGGTTTTTAATAGAGGACATTAAGGAGGAGCCCCCACGGAGTGGTGACTGGAGCTCTTTAGGGGTCTTCCTACCAGTGCTGGAACCAGACGAATTAAAATTCTATGGGTCTGGGCCAGCAGGTGGCATAGAGGATAAGGCACTGGATCCCACATGGCAGACTCTGCCATTCGAATACAGGACCAAGCGACTTTGCAAAAACATAGCAGAGGGACCAGCAGTTGGCGTAATGGCTATGTCGCTGAACTCCCATGTAGTCAATTGCGGTTCGCGTCCCGGGCCCGGTGGCTTAAACTCACGCCGGGTGCGTGTGCATGCGTGCCTAAGATCCCGAGAGGAGAATGGAAGAGAAGGGATTGCAGCGTGGCCATCCCCCCTGCAAGGTGATTTCTCGCTTTCTGTCTCTCTGTCTCTTCGGGAAACGCCGCAGCCCCTAGAGCAAAAAAAAAAAAAAAAAAAAAAAAAAAAACCTTTCTAAAACAAAAGGTCACCAGTGAGTTCAGTTTACTGACTGGGCAGTTGAGGGTCTCAGAATCCCAAGACAGGAACTGGTTCCATGGTCTGGTGGCTGGGAGGGCTGGATCCCACATGGCCAACTGTCTGAGTCCCAGCCTCAGTGGCTTGAAAAACACCCTGGGCGCAAGTGTTCCCCAGGGGTAGCGCGCTTGCCCTCTGGCAATTTTAAAAAAAGAAGTACCAGCAGATGGCATAGTGGTTAGGTTGCTGGACTCCCTCCTGGCCAACCACGTTTCGAATCCCGGGCGCAGTGGCTTGAAAATCTTGCCAGGCATGTGTGTGCGTGTGTGTGCCAGGAGGAGAATGGCGGAGAAGGGATTACTGCGGGGCCACCCTCCCTGGGGGGTGATGGCCCTATTGTCATGTTCGGGTGTTTCGTAGAGACCTGAATCCTTGAGAACCTTTGTGGGCTCCGTTTACTACCTTCCCATTTCTCACTCTCCCTCTCACTGTGTCTCTCTGTCTCTCTCTCCAAGTGCATGTACCCAGTGACAAAAACTTCTAAAAAAAGGAAATGCAGGGGACCAGCAGGTGGTGTGGCAGTTAAGGCACTGGCCACTCCCACATGGCTGACCAGAGGTC